ATATTTCACGAATATTTTTTATTAAATTATTTGCTTCTTTTCGATCAGTTTCACCAAATACAGTATTAATATATAAAACACCTAAAATTTATTATTGAAATATATTTCGGTAAATTTTCTTTATTTACCAAGTACATAACCATATGAATCATCTGTTTCTTGAACACAATATTCCCATCGTTCAGGTAATGAATCTCTTCCGAGAAGAACTGTTTTTAATGGTAATAAAGTTTGTTTAAATATCGATGGTAAATACGGAATCAGTTCTACTACTAATGATAATAATAAATGATCAATAACAATATGACTTTTATTTGGTGTCGATAAATAATTTGTTACAATTTTTGATACATTCGACATAAGATCAAATGATAAAATAATAATTTGATTATTTTCATTGAATTTTATTGGATTTGTTATGTTTATATTAAACATATTATTAAAATATGAATAGATATCAAATCCTATTGATTGATATTGTTCATGAAGTTGTTTTAATGGCATTAAATAATATGTTGCATCAGGTTTTTGTAAAATTTCCATTGGTACTTAATAAATAAAAGATTTTTGTTATTAGAAAATTCAAGTCAAAAAAGATAATATCCCATCACATATTGTGCAAAGATCGATAAGCAAATATATCCGTGCTAAAATTTTACTATTGATTAATTTAATAAGCGTGTAATGAAGTATATCAATAACACAGAGATATCGTTCAAATTATTATATATAAAGGAAGATTTGATTTTTTATTAATCTGAACCGATGTAGGATTCTAACCGATAATGAAGATGTGTAGGATAAAATTAATTCTAGGGTGTGAAGTTAAAAATGCATACCCTTGATTTTTTTTCTGTTGAATTACAAATAAGAAAATAAATTTTATAGTATCTATGAGAAATAAATAATAGTTAAATTAATTCACTCTCTCGTTGTTTTATCTTGAATTAATGAACAAAGTACTGAATTTTTAAATATGTCGTATATTAGATTTAACAATACACTTTTGTCGTAAAAGAAGATTTACGGAATCAGTATCTGAATAATAGATTTTATTCTTATACTAACGAACTGTATTTTATAATATTTTTTTTCCTACGAAACACTAATGCTATGTAAATAAAAGATCTTTGTATTGAATACTATGTCAATAGAAATTGAGCGTGAAATTACATCGATTTATTAACTTACAACTAACAATAGCAAGTTGAGTTTCAAATTGAATAATATCATTCATACGTCTGATTGAATCATTTTTATCAAAACCAAGTAATTGTAAGATATCAGATCCAACTTTTTTATATGTTTCACGAATCTAAATAATATTTTTTGATTTTAAACATAGAATTCATTTTTGGAATTTTACTTTTTGATTTCTTGCTGTTGATTTCTCGTCAGTTTTTAAATCAATGTAATAATCTCGACTATCAAGGCCAAGATGAGGTTGATCAATCTTTAAAAACAAATATATTTATATAGAATTAATTTTAAAGAAATTTATTTACATGAATACTATTCCATGTCGAATTTTTCTCATCCGGATAGACTTTAACTGGTAAAATATAGGACATATCATGTTTATTTGGATGCATATTTATTAAATTAACAAATAATTGTTGCCATGTTTGATTTTTATCTAAATCGATCCATTGTTTTATTGTAAAATTTAAATCATTTTTGAAAAATTTTTCTAATGGTTCAATATTTAATCGTTCAATTTCACTTATATTCATACATGATTGATAATATTTTATTGCTTCTTGTTCAAGATTTGATATTGATGTTATTGATGTTTGTTCAAGAATATTTTTTAATATAATTTTATTTTTTTGTAATAATTCTTTCATTGTTGACCATGATGAATGACCTTTTGGAATAATATTTTTTTTCATCCAATTTCCACATACAAATTCATGAAAATCTTCACATGGATCAACCGATTGATTCATTCCAGAAGATAGTCTATCTGATATTTGAATACATGATGATGTTAAACATAATGTATTTGGTGAATAATATTTTGTATGATAAAGAGAAATAAGTGTAATAAGAAATAAAACAAATAAAAGAATAAAAACAAGATAAATTAAGAATCGTTCAAGACGTGTTCGTTGTGAAAAACAATATTTAAGTTTATCAAAATTGGACGAATAATTATTATGATGAGGATTAAATTCTACTTGAAATGCTTCATCATTTTCATTATCAGGTAAAATTGCTGGCGAATCTATATTATTGGAATCAATAACATCATCAAAATGCCGATAACGATGCATTGTTTTATCCGATCTTTTGATCGAATATTAAACTTATCAAATAAGTCAGTCAGTTGAGTTGTTTGTCCCTAACAAAAATATCGCTACTCTATAAGACTTTATTTTGTCATGGATAGTAGTGACATCTAATATACATATATATATATATTTAAATAAAATGAAAAACATTTAACTCGTACAAATTTTCTAGAAGTATTTCGGATAAATGAAAGACTAGTTTTTATGTATTGTATTAGATAATGAGAATATTCACAAAATTTTCGTGGTATTTTTTTCACATTGATTATGAAGGGAATGATGTTTAGTTCAATATTATAGATCTCAACGTCATCTGACTTCATAACTTTACTGTTTATAATGAACGTAAATATTCTCAAGTTCAATTTTTACTGAAAATTAGAGTTCTAATTGTAGAAGTCCGTGGCGGATTTAGGGAGATGATCGTAGGGAACTGCAAAATCACTTTTTTTCGGTCCCGGTCTTGATAAAAGCTGAAGAATAATTCTGGTGTTGTCTTCATCTATGCAAAAAAAAATATGAAATTCACGAAAATTCTCGCTTTTTCGATCGTAAATTCAATCTATACGGTTTTCCTTGAACTATAAAATAACACATTTGTCAATTCTTAATTAAAGAAAAAAAAGAAATAAGAAAATATCTAGTCTCATACTTGATAAAAATATTGAGGAATTAGCTGACAATTTTAGTCTTGGTGTCGGTCTCGGTAACTAAGAGAAATTTGGGACCGGGACCATTTTGCAGTTCTCTAGATGATCGGCCCTCCTTCCGAATTTTTTTTGATTTTTTCACAGCAAAAATAAGTTCACACTACTTCGATTGGACTCAAAAAATAGCTTTCAGCCAAAATCACCCCCCCCCCCCCTCACAAAATCCTAGATCCGCATATGCTTCGCTTTAGTCTATCACGTATCATAGATCAACTGTCTAAAGCAAACATTTAAGTATGTAAAGTATTTGTGAAGAGTTCCAATACGTTTTACGACAGCAAGGTAAACATTTTGAGAAAAAAGAAATACATCATTAAGTTATTTATTTACATTAACAAATAATACGAAAAAAAAGACACTAGTTTAAAATAATTTTCAAACTGTTTTCATAGTCGAAAAACTAAAGTTATCGAATTGAAGACAAACATATTTGAGTCTACAAAAAATCTCTTTCAGAAGTAGTAGTAGATACAAAATGATTCGCATACGGTCGACATGAAATCTTTATCAATCGATGATTCTATCTCTGAATAGTGAGAAATTATCTAATCAACTGTCATCAACTGCTTTTTATGTATAGAAGAAAAAAAAGGAAGCAGAAAAGTTAATAAAATATATTAGCTGATCTACTGATCCCATCAATAAAGATTGAAAAATGACCTTACTTCTACGATACTATTTTTTTCACATATTTTAAACCAACATACGTAATCATATTTTATACTGAACATAAGCATGTTTTCAATTAATTTCGGTTTCTCGCAATCTTAAAGTTAACATGTAATACGATATAACTTTGAGCACACTAAGAGAAATGAAAGATCAAGTACGAATACGATTAATGTAATCATCAGAAGGTGAATGAATATAAATATTATACGATCTTGAAATACATTATCACAGAACAATATTAATAAAGTGAAAAAAAAAGAAGTTGATGAGTAACTGTCAATATTAATATTAAAAAAATGACAGTTTAATCTATTGAATTTAAACTGAATACAATCAATATAGATATATCAATTTCCGATCTTAAGCGAAGATTGAGTAAGCAGTGATTTTAATAAGTTAAACAAATAGAAGTTCCTCTTCTTCATCATCACATTTGTTTGTACGTGTTTTTTCATTAATTCTTTTCGAGTTACATGAAATTCATATTCTAGTTATGTTTTAAAAGAAAAATATATAAAATAACGATCTTTTTTTTAATCGACTTAACAACGAATTTCATGTGATAACATAATTTTCCAGTAGGTTAAATTCTCTAATGATCAATCATTTAACCTGTATAATGAAAATCGTGTCAAATTGCCCATTGATATCTCATCAGATTGTACTTTTAAATGAATCGTATATGCCACCATCTGTTTAACTACAAGCAAATCTCTATGGACTTGTTTTATTTTGTACATTGATCGTATCTAAATTGATCAATAAATCTAATTTAGTAAAAATTCATATATGTATTGTTTTTTTTGCCCCCTTCAAGCTTATATTACAAAAATATTGAGAAGGTGTTGATGCGTGTTTAAAAAACTCCGCCTATATACATATCACGGAAATGAGTTTTGTTTTAGGGAAAGTATACCGTTGTTTCGATAAAGTGGTCACCTGAGAATGCTGTTTCTCGTCTCATGCTCTCACTTTATTTGATGAAGTCGATTGTTGATTTTTCGACTCTCTCAGCATGAGGTATCATGTTCATTCGCTTGGAAAAAACTCATCATCATTCTCGTCTGTCTACTGGAACAGAATCGAATAAAAAAAATTCGTTTTTTTTCTTTCTCCTTCTTTCGCTCTCTCTCCTCTTCTTCTTCTCTTATACCGATCATATTCATTCACGTATTGGTTCGTGTTATTTAATCATCTCTTTCGCTTTTTCTCTTCGATCGTTTACTTCTCTAACAGATAGATTGAATATCTCTCACGTCATTAACTTATACAATCACCCAACAAATATATATATATATTCAACTGAAAGAAATAATTATATACAATGCGAAAAATACGTTTTCGTTATATTAAAGAAAATGGTAAATCAACATCAGTTACTGTACGATGTAGTCTTAAACGTAAGTGATGTTTTTTTTCTATATTTTTATTTCAATGTAGAAGACCACCGACAAGGATAGAGATGTTTAGTTTGTATAAGACATAGATGGAGATTTTATTGGCTTCACACCCGATGTTTTTGTTGTTTTATCAATTATAAAAATCAGATGTAGACAAACCGACTTTCCCCTAGGATATACGATTGATCGTTGATGTTGACAAGGAGATGTAATTTAAATAAGAAAAGTCTTCTTATAAACTTTAAGCTCTTCATTGAGCAATGACTCGTTTCGTTAACAAGATCACGCAAGCATATATGAATAGTGTGCTGTTGCTCTTTTGAGTTCATTAGTCCTTGTAGTACTTCAAAACATCAAACGAATATGTGCACATTTCGTTGACATTTTCTCTTTATTCCTCATGTCTCGTTTCATTGCTCATTTAAGTGGCTATTGAGCCAATACAGGTGTTGCAAGAATATGATCATAATTTTGATGTGTACATCACGGTTAGTGGTCGTTTTCTTCATTTCTTTCTTTTCTATATTGTCTGATGTTTATTATGTGTGTTTTACCGAGAGGCAAACATCAACATACTTGATTTTAAACATAATTTTATTTTATTAAAAAAACTCTGAACTTTTATAGAATAGAATATCAAATATCTTCTAGTCCCATATGGAAGAAAGATTAATATACAGTTCATTACAAAAAATAAATAATAAATGATGACGACACCAAAAGGTTAAATTTTTCTTTTTAAAGTTTCCAGATTTTCTAATGAGCACATCAAGCGAATAAGCGAATTAAACAGACATTATCATAAGTGATTGCTTATAGGTAAAAACGCTAAGTAACTAAGATGATGATAATGATGTGATTATGGGAGTGAATACAATTTTCCCACATTTTCTTTCGTTATTCTTTTATTAAGATTGCGTGTCAACTAGATGCAGAGTGAAACATCATGTTCTTATCGCTGTTCATCAAGGATGGTGATGATGATTGGAGTGTGTATATGTACATACACTAATTCAGCAAAGAGAAGACACACGTTCGTGTCAAGATGTTAATCAAATAAGATGATTGAAACCTATCGAAGAAAAGTTAGTTTGTACATATACATATATAAAAAGGCTTAGAAATGTATATCTAACGTCTTGTGCAATTGATATTGAAATGTATACAGAAGGTGTCGAAAAGTGATTTCCGGAAAAAACAGCAAGACTATATATGTACATAGTCAATCATTCATCATCATCATATCCTAAGGGATAACAATTGATATTTGTATTGTTTTTTATAACTAGACAAATGTGTAAGAATACAAACTCTTAAAAGACTTTTCGTGCTAATGATCTTGAAGATTTGTTTGCTGATCTTTTTTTCATTGAGAGAAAAAATTTTTTTTTCACACACTCAGTTGGAGGTGTATAACTGTTTTTTAAACATATCGATTAACAAGAGGTCAATGAACTTGACAAAATTAAGGGATACTAGTTCATATGACGATAACTATCTGTCGGCATGTGTACAATTTACATAGTTGTCTTTCAATCGAAACCATCTGCATGTTGTTCAAAAGAATCAAAGTTATTATCTCATTTATCATATAACTATTTAAACCAATATAATAAATAAAGACAAAAATGACAAATCGATATTTAATGAGTAAAAATTTTCTTATACACCTGATCAATAGAATCAAACAATCATTGAAGTTGTTTAAGAAACAAGAAAAAGAGCAATGTGAGCATGTAATTATTTTTGATAGATGACACTTAGTGTATCTGTCGAAATAAGAGTGAAAGCTTTTTACACACAGACAAGTTTTCTTTTCTTTTTTATTCTATTTTCTTTATCTTTAATCTTCATCATGTCAATGATCTGTTATTGAGATAAATATTTTTTCTACACGCAATCATACTGATTATTCTCATGCTATGCATATACATATATGTATTTTTTTATTCTTAGGTAATGCTTCGCTCATATCTGAAGCACTCAGGCATTATCAACGATTGGAACGACAGAACGATGGAGAAACGTCAACAAAAAAATTAGATAAACAAAATCGACGTCATTATCAACATGTGAACGAATGCAAATTTCGACCTGTTGTTATTGAAAATGCTGTAACGCACAAAATTAAAGTTAGTTCAATAACATTCTATGATTGAAACCTTTCAGAATAACAACTTAAAAAAACATTTAGATAGAGTTTAATAGTTGATTTGAATTTTTGCTTCTATCAATCACAAATTATGATATTAACCTTTTCAGGACTAGTTTTGCTTTCACGATCAGTGTATTATTCTTAAACTAACCGCGACTAAAAAAAAGCCTGGACCCCCCTCCAGGATAGATGGTACATATGTTGTACCATAAGATTTGTATGTGAACGAATTCTCTCGAGAATTCACTTTCTTTGATACTCATCTATACAGATAAAAACCAATTTATTACCTGATATATGAGTATCAGTTGTCATTTTATCATGAGAAAAAAAATAGTTCACTCATAGAATTCTAATGGGAATTACGATTTTTTTTCATTGATATTAATAAGCGAGGAAAAGATTACTTTTCACGTTTTTATATCTGCTATACTAAATCCATTAGAACCAAGTCTTATCTATACAAATGTTGTTTTCTTATCTTATTTTGACAAAATTTTAATTATAAACTTCCGCTTTTCTTATATAAATATTTATATAATCTTTTTAGCCAACAACTAATCATCATCATCATCATTTTGATCCAATACAATTACGTCGTAAACAATGTTCATCAACATTAATCGATGAAGATTTTCCAATACTCTACAATTCTAATCTTCCATCTCTATCTTCATCATCGTCAGGTTTTCAAAGTCACTCCCATTCATCAAGTAATCAAACATCATCAACCAATGATGAGATTGAAAATCTTAATAAACGTGGAAATATAATTAAAGAAATCTATAAAACTGAATCGGATTATTTAGGACATTTAAAAAATTTAGTCGATGTAAGTTAAATATCATTGGTTGATCTATGTACATGTTAATTTAATTTATTTCCTTAGGGCTATTTGAAAAAGATGCGTTTACATTCGGATTTATTTTGTGACAAACAAATTGAATTATTAATGGGAAATATTGAAGAAATCTATCATATTCAACAATCGTTTTTTCATTTATTAAAATTATCTCTAAATGATCAAAATCCACATGAAAGTCTTATTGGAAAATGTTTTCTTTTCTATGTAAGATTGATTTTCTCGAATGAAACAAAACATCAATATTTTTCCTATTTTAGAAAGAACAATTTAAGAAATATTCAGATTATTGTATTAATCATCCATTATCATGTTTAGAATTGATTAAACTAGAAAATAATCCTATCTATCGAGAGTTTTTTGAAGTAAGTTAATATACAATTATATGAAAAAATTAATTCTATATCAATCATTTAGACATGTCGATTAGAAGCGAATATGATTGAACTAAAATTAGATGCTTTTCTTCTAACACCCATCCAACGTATATGTCAATATCCATTACAATTAAATGAATTATTAAAATATACTCCATATGAACATAAAGATTATAATAATATTAAACAAGCATTAAATACAATGCGTGATGTTGCGAGTTATATCAATGAACAAAAACGACGTATGGAATATGTTGAAATTATTCATAAATGGCAGCATACAGTTGAATGTTGGCAGGTAATACATCTAAACATGATTATTGTATTTTGAGTCAAACTATTCATATTTTTTTCGATTATAGGGGAAAGATTTAGTTGAAACAAGTGCACAAGGTCTTGGACGTGCTGATGCGTTTTTATATCAAAATGGAAAAAAAGAACCAGTAATTTTGTTTCTTTTTGATCATGTACTTATTATTTGTAGAAAGGTATGCTTACGAAAAATGAAATATATTGAAATAAATCGAATTTTTTTAGGATCGACGAAATACATTGATTTATACTGATCGAGCTGATTTAGATAATACAGAAATTGAAGATCTTAGAGATGGAAAAGGTAAAATTGAAAATTAATTTTAATAATTAATCTTTTTGGTTTAGTATCACGTTTAGATGAAGAAAATCTCGTTCATTTATTAAATGCTTGGCGTTTGTATGATCGTACACAAAATAAAACTTATTTATTTACTCATCGAACACCGTTAGATAAAATGCAAATGATGGATTCATTAGAATATGAACGAGCATATGTTGAAGAAAATTTATCAAAAGGTTTAGACATTCCGCTTTATACACGAATAGCAACACTTAAAACGCGACAATATCTTGCTGATCAATCATCATCAAAATCACTTCCAACAATGACAAGGCAAAGTAAGAATAAAAATAAAGAATATTTCTTTTTTCGCAATACTAGTTTCATATATTTTCTAGATCGTTCGATTTCAGCTATACTTCGAACAAGTAATTCATCATGTAATAATCAAGCATCATTATTAAAAACCGCTCCATTACCAAGACGTAAATCATCATTACCACGATTTGTACGTTGTTCATCACCGGATACATCAATCGATGATAGTTTTCGTTCAATAAAATCACGTTTTCGCTTATGGTGATACTTTTTTCTGTTTTGTTCGTGCGCGTGTGTGTGTGTGTGTATTTATATACGGTGCTGTCTATATATATATATGCGAAATTCTACTAAAATAATTTGTTTTATTTTAATACAATAAAATCTGTCTATACAAATATATATACAAAGCTTATCTTTCTCGTATCTCAATCAATAGAAAATATTGTACATATATTTATACGATGTATTAGTGCGACGCTTGACAGATGTCGTCGTAATTGAATTAACTGGTTTACATTTGTCTGCAATCGAGTTCTTTCGTTAGTTTTGAATTTATTTATACAAAATGTTTTGTTCAGCAATTAAACATTTCTTTAAATTAACTATTTCACCAACAAGGTCTGTATTTTCGATACAAATATTTTATTTAAATATATATGTATATATTTAATTCAGATTTCTTGTTACAGATACTTTTCAAACAGCATCAATTAAAAATAATATTCTCTATGGTAAACCAATTGCTGAACGTATATTGAATAGATGTCAAAATGAATGTAAAGAATATATAGAAAAATATAATCATCGTCCAAAACTTGTTGCTATACTTGTTGGAGGAAATGAATCCAGTAAACTTTATGTACGAAATAAACAACGTATCGCCGAACACGTCGGTTGTTTTCTTTTGAAATATTTCAACATTTTTTATTGATTTGTTTTTTTTTCGAAAATTTATTTATACAGGTGTTGATTTTCATGTGATCAATCATTTAATGCATGTCACACCATCAAATTTAATCGATACAATTCAAGATTTAAATAATGATGATTCTGTTGATGGAATTATTCTTCAATTACCATTACCATTACATCTTATTGATAAAACTGAACAATTTATAGATGCAATTCGATCCGATAAAGATGTTGATGGACATACAACATTAAATAATTATTCATATCGACAATCATCTAGTCCATTTGTAACTATACCAGTTGTAGATGCCGTCAAAGAAATGTTATTAGAAATTGGTGAACCATTACAAGGAAAAGATGTTGTTGTTATTGGACGTTCGAAATATGTTGGTACACCATTAGCACTTATGCTTAGTCAATCAAATATTACTGCTAAAAGTGATTTAATAAGTGGTGCAACTGTAACTATTTGTCATCGTCATACACCTTCAACAAATTTAACTTGGTATTGTAAAAATGCTGATATTATTATATCTGCTGTAGGTCGTCCAAGTAAAGTGCTGATTGTAGAAAATGAATTTAGTATTTTTTTATATTTGCTTTTCAGAACTTGTTACATATCGTATGGTTAAAGAAGGTGCAATTGTTATTGATGTAGGTATATCGAAAAGTTGGACTGATAAAGCTGTAGTAAGCAATAAACGATTTGTTGGTGATGTTGATTTTGATGGTAAGATTTTGATATTTTTGCTTGTTATTGAAAGATAATTTAATATATTTTAGAAGTAAAACGTATTGCTCGATGGGTAACTCCCGTACCGGGTGGTGTTGGTGCCGTGACAGTGGCTTGTTTAATCTCAAATTTATTGAAACTAGCACGACAACGAAAACAATAATATATTTTTGTTACTATTTTGTTAGAATAAAATTTAAAAAAGATAATATGTTAGGGTCTCATATATTTTCGAAGGATTTTTCATTGATCAGAGAATATTTTCTTATCTAAATAGAATTAATCTTTTTCAATTAAATGTTCATATCATAGTTTTACTCGTACTAGTTTTAGAATAAATCAATTGCAGTTCTAATCTTGAGATGATAAGATTGGTATTGTGATAGTAAACGAAATATTAACTAACCATAATATTTCTGTGTAGAAAAATATGAACTCGTTTTCATCGACTTCATATTTTTGAGTAAACTCATTAACACAAAAGAGAAAAAGTACAGAAAATATTACTAAATAATAATCAGACATTGAAAAACTTCACAGAACAATATATTTTACTATAACAAAAGCTAATATGAACATCGTTTCTCTCTAGCTTTGTATTTCAATCTACAGATGATCTCATTTCTTACATAAACAAGTAACAGTCAGCTTTTATAAGTATTGATCATTTTGTATATTGAAAGGAAAATATAGTAATTTAACAAGGATTACGCAACGATTATCAGTTATCATTCTTACAAAGTAATATCTTTAGTTTTTTTATGTTTTTCAAACATTCGCACAATGAAATTAGTATGAACTTGCAGTTTCACTACTACTGAAAATGGATAGCAATAATGTTTCTTATTATGATTTTATTTGTGAGTAAACGTAAGTAGAAGAGCTATTTTTATAGCAACTTTTTATTTATTATATGATAAAAAGCAAGAATGACAAAGATATAGTTGATAGAAATATGATATTTATCATCAGATTAACTGGCTTTAAAACATCATTTAATTATTTTCTCCTGAACTACAATGGTTGCTGAGTTGCTTCTTCAGATTCTGGAGT